CCTCCCTTGCCCCTCCTATTTCGCAGTGACTTTCTGGCTTGATTTATCTGATGGAAGGAATTCTGCACAGGGCTCTGGCTCTGGTGGTATCCCTATACTGTAACCTTTTCCCCCCGCCAGATGTTCCTCTCTCAAAACACGGTTATGTTCATCCCCAAATCCCCGTACAAACATATCAAGTGGTCGCAACATGTTTACGTGGACCATGGCCGACAGAAGTGACAGGGACAGTGACACGAGTGTTGGGGGTTGGAGAGCAGACAGGGAGGGCAAGGAAGAGAGACATAGACAGAAAGACAGACAAACGGAGGTGTCGGACATATGCTCACGCCAGCTGACGACACCAGGATGACCTGGAGGAGTAAGAGGAGATTGGGGGCAGAAAGGGGTTGATAACTCCCACAAATATCGTAACGGGTTATACTTTGAGTTCAACAGTTTGCCTGGATTTGCGCGCCTGAACTGATTTATTGTATCATACTTTTTTACGCAGAACTTTCCTTTTACATGCTTTTTTTGATTCAGTGAGCACTCCAACAAAGGGTGAAGATGGCTTTTAGAGGAGCCGCTCTAAAACGAGCTATTATAAAGAGACAATAGCTTGACGTGCTGGATAGTTATGATGACAAATATGTAAATTTGATCCAACATTTTTTAACAGTATCCCATTTCAGCAAATCCTATGTTTCAAATATATGTCAATCTTGAAATTAAAACTCAGGAATGCAAAATATTAAATGGAATATCAGATTGAATTTTGTCTAATAAAACAAGAGATATGATCCGCAAGATCAAGTGTGTGAGACAGTGAATGTGTATAAAGACGTCATACCTGTGAGCTCAACAAATATCTGACAGAAAATGTAAAATGTCTTTCTTCCTCACTCAGTTATCTGCATCAATGCCTGTCATGAGTCGCAAGTAAATACGTCATTCCCAACTAGAGTGTATGTGTTGCATTAGCTTGGTGAGCCAATTGTCAATAATAGATAAAATGAGACAACGATACAGCTTCAGGTTCCTGGGTCAGGTTCAGGTCTCAAATTTGTCTGCACCAGTTGGGTTCAATTGAATCAGGTCTGAAAGACACAGGTTCAGGTCTCATGCAGAACTGTGTATGTGTTAATTATCTGTTTATCCCTTTATTAGGAAAGCAACACACACATCACCAGCAAGACAGACAGCGGATGAGTGGGAAAGAGAGAGAGAGATGATGATGACAATCGTGATGATGATGATGGAGGGTAAGCTATGTCAAGGCCCTGACAGCTTTGACCGCCTCAGCCAATATTTGTCACTTTCAGCGTGCATGAATTCTTGATTTGATGTGCCTTAATTGATTCAGCTCTGCCTGGCACTGTCTGTCTGTCTGCCCACTCCCCCTCCTCACTCCCCATTTCTCTCTCTAGCTACCTTTCTATCCCTTTCTTTATCTCTCTGTCTATCTAATATTACAGGGAATACGGAGTCTAGGCAGACTAAGATGAATGGATCGGAGGAGGAAGAGCAGCCAGCGATACTGCCCTCTCTGTGACCTCTTCCATGACTCAATGAGCCCCAAATGGCAGACATGACAGAGGATCAAGTGCTTCAAAGTAAGCCAGGCAGAGATAAAACCCAACAGGCCTCTTGGATGATGAACAGGTTTTGTAGCAGGAAAAAGCCATCATGTAGCAACCATGACACCTGGGTTTTGGTGCATTGGCCCAACACATGTCACATCATGTAGCTAAAGGAGGAAAAAAATAAGAGTTGTCCATGAGCTTATAGTTATAATGTTATGATTAAAGCACTGGTGTATATTGTGTAGCTTGTGCCAGTATCTAAATCTTGACAATTTACTACTTCGAGTACAGGAAGTAGTAAATTGTCAAGATTTAGATTTGTTGTAGGATAAAATCACGCAATAATGATAAAGCTTTGGGTTTTCTAATTTTTCTCATTCTGTTTGGTTCCCAGATTAAAAATATCACTATCAGCTCTATTTGCCCTGTTACCATGGTGTTCAGACCAAGGTTAGTCATTCTATGTTTCTCACAATGTGTGTCTTTTTTCAGGCCTGCATTGTTGCTGGGCACATTTACCTTGGTTGTTCTCAAATAATCCATGCCCACTACAGAGAAACACAGCCAAAATTGATTTCCTTTTCCTTTATTGTAATGGCAGAAGCATGCAAGGTTTGAGTGCTTCCCACTAGAAGTGACGCCCTCCTCCTCTTCTTAGCCTTGGACCAAATGAATGGCAAAAGAGGAAGGGGGGCCAACAAAAAGTTGTTTTCGTAAACACCTCTGTCTGTGTGTGTGTGTGTGTGTGTGTGTGTGTGTGTGTGTGTGTGTGTGTGTGTGTGTGTGTGTGTGTGTGTGTGTGTCTCAGAGGGGGTGATGGTGGTCATGCACTGCTTGGATAAAACCTCATGTTGAATTATTGCAATAAACGCCTTTGAACACTGGTAAGGATTACTTGATGCACAAGGTACTTCAGAAAACATAGTGTTAGTGCTTTATACAGCAACACTCACCTATTGTGCATGTATTGAAAGCTGGTAAATTTCCCATAAGTCCCTTTTGAACATAGCAAAAAGGCTCTGCCTAGATGAGAGCTCAACCATACATGTAGAAACACCACTAATAAATGTGAAGATGCTTGCATGCTTTTTACAGAAAGCATAATTCTACTTTATCTGCCGTTTCATGTTGGGTCCATTCAAGTAATGTGAGATACCTTTAATCTCAAGCCAGGGTTCCCCGTTTTATGATGAGCTTTGGGTAACACTCAAGTGGAGAAACAGAAGGAGCAGCACTTTCTTGACAATAAAGCACAGAGGGCCTGTGCTGAACCTGTCAGCTTGAAATTTAAATGCATACTTGATTGCTTTTAAAGTGGGTGCCACTGATATCCTGCCATGATGTTAAGGCTTCTTTGACGGGTGGTAAAAGCCTGAGAAAAAAAACTTTCAGGCAAAGGCGTAATCGCAAAGGAACAAGTTGTAGTTTTATTAAAAAGAGCATCTTGTGTTCCAAGCCCCGCTCCACTCCAACCCCCATGCATTATGTTGCTGTGCTGATGTCACATTGATTATGCTGATCGTAAACTGCCTTTGTTTGTCCCTTGCTCCCTCCCATCAGTCATCCATCTGCAGGGATGAGCAGAAGTCACACTAAAAGCCATCTTTTCCATGTTTTCTGCATTTTCAGGTCATGCTGCAGATAACGCCAGTCCCACTGGAGGCCCAGGCGACTCATCCTTTCGTTCGCACTCCAGTATATTAATTGCTTTTTAATGTTCCCCTTCTCTCCTGAAAGTTGCTGCATACTAACAAATCAACAACAATAAGGTTCTTTTTGCTGTTGCGGGCCACAGCCAAGACTAAAAGGGTACAGTCACTGAATAATCCATGCAGGGTGCATTGGAATGAAGGCTTCAAGCTGGTAACAGAGGAGTTGTAACAGGAGGCCATTTGGCTTTCTTTCTGTTTTGTCCCAAGTGTCCTCTGCGCCCAGCTGTGCGCATGTCGCAGAATAGGACTTTGGTGCGAGCGAGGATGGGAAGATGTAATACTGATCCATCTAATCCAGCTAACCAAATGAAGCATTGTGACATGCCACCTCTCTCTTGAACTACAACTTCGGGCAAAATTAGAGTTTTTAGCATTCATTATTAATCTACACAGTTATAAGGAATAGCGCCCTGTTCTGCAGACCCTTTTAGATGAAGTGTAGCAATCTGTTATGCCTGAATCTCAGGGAAATAGATTGCAGCATATGCTGTTAAACATTACATTTAAAAGTAGAAAAGGGGAAAATGTTTTTTACAAAAAAATGTTGTACACCGTACACAGAGTAAAATTTTTCAGTTGCGTGCTAAAACAATTTGAAACAAAAAAGGTACAGCCAAAAAATAAAGTTTCAGTTTTCAGAATAGCAGCCATATACATATTTTTATTGGGTTTTATTGTTTGTGTTTGTTTTGACTTTTTGCCCGTAGAAGCAGCTCTCCTATAAATGTGGGGAACTCCTGTAACAATATGTCTACCTTAAAACTAAGATTGTGATAAAAGGTCTAGCAACAGATTACATGATAAATTCATTTGTTGCAGGCTTAAGCAGCCCTTTGAAATTTCTTCTCTGTAGCCTGCAGCAGAAACGAGAGCTCTCACTGCTTAAGCTGCTAACCTACAACTTGCCGCCTCCTGTAACATGATTCTTGCTCATAATTTACAAGGGAAGCAAAGGCGGAGGTAATCAGACATACAATTTTGTAATATGAAAGAGGTTCTAACCTGACTACATGATTAGCAGACTTACTGTAACTAATGACATTACACATTCAGCCATTGATGTGATTTGTTTAGGATATTTGGCTCCTACTTTACTGCATCAACTGCACTGAAATGTATTGCCTTTAGTGGTAGATTATAGTTTGGGTGGTAAATGTATATAGTTTTTGTTATCTTTATTTTTCCCAAATAGTGACAAAAAAATATTCTTAAAACATTAAGTAACAGATTGATCAAAAGAATTAGCTTGAGCTTTAAGAGAGAAAACAATATTTTGTTATGAATTGTAGCACAAATCAGTGCTGACTGTATTCTTTGTCTGTATTATGCGTAGTAATTTTTAAAAATCTTTTATCTTTCATAGAATAATACATACTCGTGTAAAATCACACAATAACTGTGTGTGTCTATACATACCTTTGAGCCTAAAAAATAAAATTACAGTTTGTTTGGAAAGTACAAGTTTGCATGTGCACACACAAGTAGCAACACTGCATTGAGTGAGGAACGCACGGGGTGCAAGGGGGGTCATCAGCGAGTGTTTGGAGCTTGAGTTACAGGGCCAGCATCTGCCATCCGGCCATCAGGCCCTCATATCCATCACTGGCCGATGGCGTGGTGCAGCCCGGCGTTTGTAAAAACACCCAGAGGAAATGGAGTCTCTGGGCCAGACAAGAATAAAATTAGCTTGATGACTAAGTTCCTCCTCAGGTCCCAGCGGGAATAGAACTCTGCCATTTGTTTTCATTACTTCCCTTGGCTGTAGATGGGAGGACGACGTCTGTGTGACTGTGTTTGTGTGCATGTATGTTTAGAGAGGGTGCATGTGTATGTCTGTGTCTGCTTCTATCCCTGAGAAAAAAACTATGCACAAAAACAGGCATTTTGTCATTTCCAGTACTGTATGGGTTTAATCAAACATATTCACTCGTAAACACACCACTTCGATTCCAAAGCTCCTTCTATGTATATTATTTGTGCTTGGTCTGTAGAGGTGACATTACTATTTGGAATTGTTCCACCACCCTTCATGGCATACAATATTGGCTTTGGCCACTTTATTGCATTAGCCTCAGAATATCTAATAAACACGCAAAGGTTATAAAAATTGATTCGCTCGCAAATGTGTTTTCATTCATTCCCAGTGCTATGACCTAAGCCAACTTTTGCCGAACTAAATGTGTAACCAGCTTATTTTTGGTGGTTGATATTATTTGCTTTGTCACTTCTGGCCAAACAAGAAATTGTGAATTTGATATACATCTCTATACACACCATTACATTCCTGATCATATGCACATAATCAATGAGGTTTTAAAAGATTTTACTCCGCATGCATAAAAACAAATAATGAGACACTCATGAAAGGAATAAATATAAGGGAAGCAGAGTAAAGAGCAAAGAAAAGTAATGTAAAGAAAATAGCATAGCATACAGACCCAGTATGTTGACACAGTAAATTATAATAAAGCAGATAAATGCCAAGTAAACACGTAATTTTAAACATATAGGGCTGATCATGCATAAAGTATGCATTTACATTTGAGACTGAAGCAATATTTATTGTGCTATTTTAGTGCCCCTACATGCTCTCAGTGCAGAATAATTGGCCTTGTTTGTACTAAAGCAGCATAAAATAGAATCGCAGAGAAAGCACGGAAGTGGAAGCCCCTTTCTTTTGTAAACAGAGAGAGAAACCTCAACACTACAGAAATAATGTTAGCCATATTTGCTATTGTCAAGCTTTGAAAGAACCTCTGAACTTCACCTACTTACAAATGCATTTCTATTCTTTGAATACTCTACGTCTTGTTACCCTCTCTGTTTTACACACACACATGCACGCACGCACGCACGCACGCACGCACACACGCACACACACACACACACACACACACACACACACCTCTCAGATTAGTTCCAGCTTTTACCCAAGGTGCCTGTTAGAGCTGAAGTGAAGACATCTTGTGCTTCTTTAAAGCATGTAGCATTAACACCTTTGCCCCCTGTGTAAACCCTGAGTACTGACCCACAGCGAAGAGTGAGAAGTACACAGCTTTGAGATGCAGCAGTGTGTAACCCGTAGACCTGTGTTGAATTGTTACAAAGCAGCACTTTTCAGTCAAAGCTCCGTAGGAAGGAAGGAATCAGGAAAGGGAATATTGGAGGTGATGTAGAAAATGAAAGTATGTGGATGTGTGCATGCATGTGTGTGTGTTCTTTGGGAGACGGGCTGACTAAACAGACCAGGGGGCTGGTGAGCCAGAGGCCTTGAACCAGAGGTGTGAACAGAGAGATCCGCTCACACATTTGGCACATAACTACTAATTTTTCTTTTACAGTTTTAACATAGCCTCTCTCCATCTCTGTTTTCTTCACATGCAGGCAGGTAATTAAAGGGTCAGCTCACCAAAAAAAGTCAACCCTGTTTCCAGCTTTGTGACTTTGTTATTAAGGAAGTAGAAAAGAGTTTTAACCAGTAAAAATAAAAACAATAAAAGTAATAATACATCTAAAATCTATTTTGTAATTGGGTGAAATACCCCTTTAATATGTGATACATTTCAATTCCTATCTTACATTAAAAATACATCAAACTGTTTCCAAACAAAGATTGTGTCTTCTGACAAATATTAACGCAGAATTGGACATGCATGTATATGTAAGCTGACCATAGCATAATGCATTTAAATATGCATTTATAGGAAGACAGAGAGAACACAGATCACGGAAGAATTACATGACTTCCCAGAACCATTCTTGGCTGAAAGGGGGAAGTGATTTTCTCTAATGTATCTCTGTGTTGTGTCCTTGTCCTCCCACGACTGGTCTGCACACCAACAGTTAGGGGTCCTGCAAACGTGGGTCAAGGCGAGTGTGTGCGTGTGTGTGTGTGTGTGTGCCAGACAACAAGAGAAAGAGAGAGCGAGAGGGGGGAACAGAGAGTTTGCCAGTGACAAGGAAGTCAAATAAAGGGAAGAAAAGCTCCATTTCCCCAGCTAAATGTACCCCTGGGAGGCGTAAGGGAGGGAGAGAGCACAAGAGAGAGAGAAAGGTTATGAACCGACAATACTCCTGCAAGGCTCCAGATTTACAACTACCAAGTCCTAAGAGCTCTGCCATGCTTATTTCTACAGCCAGTTAAAACAAATTGCAGCCATGTTTCAATCACCCACATCCTCTTCTTGCTCATCCGCTCAGGCTGAGCTTTTGGCTGCTGTATTATTTCAATTACTCCTGAATAAATACTTTCCTCTAGTGAGGCAGTCTTCATCCACTGGAAAGTCCCCACATGCTCCCACACTCTCCAGAACCCCAAGTAGTCTCTTTGCTCCCTTCTTTTCTTCTTATGTCAGCTCAATATGGCCCCTGGAGTGACGTAAAAAGGAAACAGAGTCTGTTTTGAGAAGCTGTCGGCGTGTTTGATTTTGTTTACTTGCATTTTGTCATCAGTGTGCAACTTTTATTCTTGGAAGCTAACATGTTGGCTTGATCTTCACTGGCAACATTTTTCTCCTACCTTCTTTTGCTGTTTGAAAAACAGCCACTGGAAAACATGCAGTTACTCTCTCATACTGAGTGAAATGTCTGACCTATGGAGGCATGGATGAGAGCACAAGAAATGAGTAAATGCTCCCTTTTTTGTATGTTTGATTGTGAGTTGTGGTTGAAACCTTTCGTAACCTGATACACTGTTTGATTTGGGTTCAAATGAGAGAGAGACAGAGCAATGTTGGGCAGAAGGAGCGGGGTGGGGGTAGAGGATGGTTGGGGGCAGGTATGGGGTCACAAGAGTGTCTTTTTCATGTTGTAGATTAGAAGCAGATGTCAGTGGGATTACACCGCCAGTGTCATCACTCAGCCCACAGCCCCACCTCCACACATACACAGTCAAAGTACATGCACATGCACATGCACACGCACACGCACACACACACACACACACACAAACACACACACACGCACACACACACACACAAAGAGGGGGTTAGAAAAGTTTCACAGTGTTCTCAACTGTTCATACAGCTACAGAGTGAGCAAAGAGCATCAATGACTGATGTGACGTACTGCGCCATAGCTAAATTAGGCAATTTCAAGCTGAACCAAAGCAAACTGTATGAAAATATATTGAGCATGTCCTGAAGTCCTGAACAAATCTTTCAATTGAACATGTCCTTTTGATAAATCAATCAAATCAATTTGAAAACATGAACAAACCAGAAAAAGGAACAAACACACACATATATGCACTAATACACCTTCCTTGAGAGACCACTGGAATGCGTTTATTGTGAAGCAGCTGCTGGAATGTGATGTACGTGGAAGTCTTTAGCCACTGAATACTGACTTATTGCTTCATGAAAGTTTATCTTAATCTAGATTTGTACTTTTTCTGTTGCTTTTTTGCTAGTGAATCAGTATGAAATATTGCCAGGGAGGAATGGATTTCATTACAGCTCTGACAAAGCATGAAAAAGTTCAAGCTTTTTTTGTATTCCTTTGGGAGTCTAGCATCGAAGCACGAAGGAGGGGAATCTAGATCATGAATGAAAGAACCAAATACTGGATCAGTTTTTGAATCAAAGGATCAAAATCAAACACTTGCTCCCCTAATGACACAGTGGCACTGATTCCATATGCGGATAACTGATTCAAACATTCGAAAGGTGACAAAAATTAGTCCAACTGCAACCTACTGAAATCCAACTTGCAAAATTCTTAGACATTTAAAACACTAACAGATTAACACATAACCTTAACCCAATGAGTTGTGATTAATTATATAGGTGATAAGTTTTCATAACAATATTGGTGACAGAAAAACTTTCACATTGTGTCATGCAAATGATTAGCATTTAATGAAGTGGTTAGAGCACTGGGAACTTCAGAGGATTCATTCAGGTTTGTTTGAACTTCAAAATAAAGGCTTCTCATTTTGCTGCTATCTAAAATTCCATTAAATTGTACTTTTGTTGGCCCCTGATCGTATTATATATTACACTTATGAACCCAGTAATGCTGCATGTCTCTCTAATGTCTCTATGTTGATACACTCATGTCCCCAGACCAGCCTCCATCAGCGACCTCAGCACCATGAACCACCCAGGGCCTTGAAGTGGTCCCAGCTTGGAAGATAAATGATGTGACTGAGGAACCGCTGTCTACCAAGAGCTTATTAGAGCTGATGGGATCTAATCCTGAGATCATTGCAACCCTGTGTGTGTGTGTGCGCATTATGTACAAATGTATGGAAATATATATATATATATATATATGTGAACTAGGCCACCGAGTGGGACATTAGCAGGCGGGGTCTGCTCTGTCTTAGCTGTTTGATGTCAGCAGAGGGGTGTTGTGTGGTGTTGGTGCAGAGGACAGGAGCCTAGAGGGTCCATAAGAGATAGCTGTGAGGAGTAAAAGCTGCAACCCGCTTATTGTTCCTGACAGGAACCACACTGGGGCTGTGAGTATGATCACAGCTGCTGAGAACATTACCACATCACGATATGGTTGTAATTTTGACCACTGCAACCAGCTACTGAAGCCTGGCAGCCTTTTTGTGGTGGTGGTCAGAGGCCTTGACCGGATGTCAGCAGTAACTGTGGATCAACTATGACTGTGGGCGTTCATAGATTTGTGGTTTTATGAATATGCGAACAGATTTGCTGAGAGGAGAGATGGTTCAGTGTGTTGTTGGTAGAGGGATGGAGACCTTGTGGAGAAACAGAACACAATTCTCCTCTGACTTAAAATCACATAGAAGTTTTAACTTAATTACAACATTTTCTATCTATGGAAGAAAGATGTGGCTAAGGATCAGAAATTCAGGCCATGAATATTAAAGGTGTGATCACAGTAGCATTCACAGTATCAGATAATCTGTGCAGACCATTTGTCCCAGCAAAGAGACCGAACTGTCTTTATGTCCATGTGTCGTGTTAATAGGCCCAATAATCCTCAATTGAGGTACGTGAATACAGTTCTTGAGGATTAGTGTCTTCAGATGATGCAATAAGGATCAGCATTGAAAAAAGGATTCTACACTTTAAGATGCAAAAAAATATATTTTTTCTCTATGTAAAGGAGAAATACTAGAGAGGAGAAAGTGTGGAGAAAGTGTTAAGGGAAATTCATTTCTTATGGTGATAACTTGTAACACGTCTGATAATGTATGTACATGTGTTTGTTTGTGTGTGTGCGTGTGTGTGTGTGTGTGTGTGTGTGTGTGTGTGTGTGTTTGTGTGTGTGTGTTCTGAGATCACAGTGTGTGGCAGTTGAGGCTCCAGTCAGTGTCCAAAGCTGGGGGAGAGATTTGGAGGTGCTGCTGCTGTAGCAGACAGACCGGTGAAGATTAAAGAACTTAAGATAGACAGACATCCAGAGAAGTTCAAAGACTGCAATATAGCAGGTTTTTATGAGAGGATGTCTGAAGATTGCAGACCACAGCAGCACTTAAGAGACACATAATCGCAAAAAAAGAAAAAAGAAATCCTTATCTCAACATGCCATTCAGTCTCTTTTACAGTGTTGGAAAAGTAAGCAAGTTCGTTAGGGTAACCACAGTTCATTCCACAACAAATCAACGTATTTCAAGACTTTTTATAGCTTGTGTCATATTATTTACATTACTTCACTGGTCAGTTTTATTCTTAGAGTTAGAACGTGGAATAATCTTATCCCATCATTAGACATTTTCTGGTCTGTTCAGAAAATTTTGAGTTTGAAACTTAAATATCACAAGCTATCTATTCTCGGTAAGTTGTATGTAGAACCGTGGGATCAAATCCACTCCCTGTTGTTGTTTTTATCTCTTTGTTTTCAGCAGCGGATGTTTAACGATTCAGCCAACATAGAGTCATGTACCAAGTTACTCACACAACACTAGAATAATAATCGGCACAAAACAGACATTATAGGCATGAGACACAACCTAAATGCTGCATTTCATTACCTATATTTAGTTTCAAAGGATAACTCTGTCCACTCTTATCTCCCCCACTACATGGTGACTGCATGCAAGCCCTGAGTGCTTTCTGAGAACAGCTCTAGAGCCCCGAGAGCCTACTCTTGAGTGACTATCTTCATGTTCTTGACCCAGCGGTACAGCATGTAGATAGCCTTAACTATGGTAACGGATGCAGAGCAGCAAAATTTATCTCTTAAAAACTCCTGTTGAAACTCTTCACAAAGTACAATGAAAAGGTTTTCAAGTGGTTGTTTTTGTTTCTGAGATGCTAAGATTTGGATGGTGGTCCATTTTTTGTAATTGCAGAAAAGGGTATATTTGCAGCCTGAGAAAAGACATTGACAGAAAATAATTAACCACGTGCAAAAAACTGAAACCAAATAAATACACACAGTTTCACCATTGGAAATCATGTGCATCTTGCAAGGTTTATGCTCATAGGAAAGTGGAATTTTTTTTCAAACTTTCTTACTATTCCTTCTTGGATTTATTTACTATTCACGCAACATATTCTCTTCTCTTGTCCTAGATATGGAAAACAATGGAAAAAGATCCCTGATGTTGTTTCTCCCTGTATGATGTGAGCCTTATTTTACTCTATACTTTGCAAACTGGGTGCTAGTTGTCACTATGCACGCACGATTTAAGAGTTTTACATTTGAAAATAAAAATAAAACAATTCTTAATATTCACATGAAAATGACTGTAGTTTGACATGGAGCTAATTAATGGGGGCAAACCTGCAACCTGCCCTAACAGCAGTAATTGTTGCAGCAAAATGCAGCTAAAGGCCATATAGTCATGTTTAATTTCTCTTCATTGCTTTGACCTGCACCCACATCATGGATTTATATCCCGAATCTGCTCCCTCTGACCTACAATTAACCTTATGAAATCAGGAAGACACACAGTCTTTTGTGTTTCTATGTCTTTTAAGTGTGTGTGTGCATGCACATGCATGCATGTATGTTTTTCCACATCCTCTCCCTCCCCTCTCTTTTCTTTTTAGCTCCTCCATGTTACTTTTCAGCAATTGAAATCAAGGTAATGACTGGGCAAGGAAAAAGAATGTTCTTTCAATAGATAATTAGGGAGATTGGTTTACCAGGGCCACTCAAAGCCTATTCAAATGCATGGCTGAGGCCAGGCCTTGTTGTCTGCTGAGCCCAAAAGGCTCCCAAGAGAGGCATTCGCCTTGGCTTCATTTCTCTGAGCAGGTGCCTGGCAGGTAGTCAATGGAGACGGCCAGTTGAGATATATAAGAAACCCATCCCCCTAGACAAGGGGTCAACATCACAGGTCAGGGGTCATGAACAGAGGTCACAAGGTCAATGTTTAGCACACAGGACCGGCCAGATGACTGGAAATGCATGCTGCTGGACAGCCAGCTATCAGTATGACTGAATGTGTGCAGGAAGTAGAGGTACTACTGTTTTTGATTGACAGCTACTTTTTCTTTCATCTCTAACTAAACATCTGAATTCAGCTAACAGAAAACGAAATTAAATCACACTTCCTTACCTTCACCTGCCTACCCAAATGCATCATCAGCCCAAATCCACTAATTGCTGTTAGTGTCTAAAAGTAAAAAAATGACTGTTGTGTCTTGTAATTTCACTTTTTATG